CTTCTCCAGCCACACAGGAAAGGTGCAGCACTGTTATTTCTCTACTGAGCACTGAAAAAGAAGCCTCAGCTTGAGGCTCCTTCCTCATCCTGACAAGATCCTGAGAAGAGCTAGAACGCTTCACGACGTGGCAGTCTGCAGATGCCTGCCCAGGATGCCCGGGACAGGAGGTGCCAGTGGGGCAGCCAGAACTGCTCTTTCTTGGTGTTTCAACCTCTCTCTCTTCATTTGACCCTAGGAGATGGCATTGTCAATGAAAAATGAAATAGCTGGTAGCACATAGCAACTGTTAAAATGAAAGACTGTTTTATAAACTCTAGGAATTACTGTCTGCTAAGGCAATCAAATGGTGGTATGGGGTTATCTGTTGTATCCTTAAAGTTTTTCCTCCAACAATGTATTAAATTAAATCATACTGTATCTTGTAAAAAATACAGCATCTTGCATTAAATACAAGTGATGGTCAGAGAGCTTGTACATCTTACACCTGCACTGAAGAGTTAAATGGAGTCTGGATAAAGTGGTTTTGATAACGTCTTAAGGTCAGAGAAAGTTGGTCTCCATTAACCTCATGGGTGTGAGACTTGTGTTTGAGTAAATGGCCATGCCTGAGAAGAGGGACAACTGAGCCTGAAAGATGTAAGTCACAGAATCTAGCCTGTGTTTTAGATAGCAATTTAATTATTTTGCTTTAGATGACAGCAGGCTCATAAGTGACAAAATTTTATAAATAAAGAGGGTTTTTTTTCTGCGGGATGGGAATAGGAGATGGCCTATTTCCTGCATATTTTTAATCCTGCAAATATCACAAACATCAGCTCTGGTATTTCTGAGACTTCCCTCTGTGTGACTCCTGTGAAGATTAGAAGCTTTTCCAGTCTCTGATTGAATGGGAAGACATGCTGAGTTTTTGGCAAAGAGCATGTGTCTCCAACATTTCAATCGAACAAGTGTTAACAAAAACAAATCTAGCACTGGAAAAAAGAAGAGCCTCCACAGAATAAAAGCAACTGCCCCACTCAATAAACTTCAGTCCCTTTCTCGGACATCACAGGTGTCAAATGTTTTAGTTGGGCAGGTGTAACAGCATCAAAATCCACAGGCTGGACTTCACTTTTAAGTCCAGAACAACAGCAAAAAATACATTTGCATCCAAACCTGAACCTTCAGGAAGCTATTCCCTGCCCTGAGACTCCCCCCCCACACCTTTAAACAGTGGGGAGAGAGCTTGCAGGGACCCCCCACATCCTCATGTCCTCAGTGTCAGGTGCTGAGGTCTGTGGTCCTGCAGTGTTTGGGGTGGGTTGGAACTGTGACCCCAGCAGACTCCCTGAAGACCGCACTCCCAACAGAAAAGTTTAAAAGGTTCCGGATCTGCAAAGCCTGATTTCGAGCCCACAGCCCTGCTAACAGATGGGAGGCAGACAGCACTGGGAATCAGGCCTTACAGTTTCTGAAGCATCACTAAAAACGTTTTCAGCTGCCAATCCTCAAGGAGCTGCGGTCACACACGGGCTCTTCGTCCTTCGGATGACTCAGATACCTTCCAGCCGGGCAGGGGCAGTTTCGGTGTGGCTGTGTAGTATCCATGAGGAAAGGATCCTGGGACATAGGCCTTGAGGGAATACAGGCAATAACAATCCCAAACAATAACCTAATTGACATTCCGAGTTATTTTCAACATAAAAGCAACAGTCTGGTTTTTATTAAGATATCACTTCATCATGTTCCCTGATTGCCTTCATTCATGCCTTAGTTGCCTACAGTTGTGATTTTAAAAAAAAATAAAAAAACAACACACATTCATAGGTAAGAAAATAGGCTCTGCTCCACGTTTTAGTGTCAAAAGCAAGTTGAGGCTCCTCCGGGATCCCTCCCGGGCCGCCTTCCCGGGATGTGTGGACGAGACGCAGCTCGCAATACCGAGCCTTATCGACTCGAGGAGGGGGCCGTGTGGCATTTAATTTAACATCTCACGGCAGAGATCACCCCCCTTTCCGCCTTGCCCCGCCGCCTTCTTCCGACGAGGACGGCAGAGAAGCACCGCCCCCCGGCCCGGCCCCGCGCTAACTCCGCGCCCCCCTGCGCAAGGAGCTCCGCGGGCTGCAGGCGGGACAGAATTCACGTCCGGCCAGACGGACGGTGATCATACAAGACAATGCTCGCCTCGTTAGAGACCTAGACCCCGGGTTCTCCTTGGTGGTGATGTGGGTTTTCCTCTCTGAATAGGGGATGGAAAAAAAAGCAACGGAAAAAAAGGAAGAGGAAAAGGGGGGAGAGGGGAGGAGGGGAGAAGAAAAATGGAAAAAGGAAAAAAGCAGAAGAGAGGAAAACGAAAACAAAACAAAAAATAATAATAATTAAAAAAAAAAAAGAAAAATAAAAAAAAAAAAAAGGAAAAGGGAAATGGAAAGGGAAAGGAGAACAGGGAAAGCAAACGGGAAAGGGAAAGGAAAAGGGAAAGGGAAAGGAAAAGGGAAAAGGAAAGGGAAAGGGGAAAAGAAAAGGAAAAGGGAAAGGAAAAGGAAAGGGGAAAAGAAAAGGAAAAGGGAAAGGAAAAGGAAAGGGGAAAAGAAAAGGAAAAGGGAAAGGAAAATGAAAGGGAAAAAAGGGAAAGGAAGAGGAGGAGGAAAAGGAAAAGATGGAAAAAGAAAACAAGAAAAAGCAAAAAAAGGGAGGACTCCGCTGGCCACTTCTCCCTCCCCGGGCCCCCCCGGGTGCTGCAGGAACTGCCTCCCCGGGGCACAGCTCGGCCCCGGAGCCCCGGCAGCCCCCGCCGCGCCTCCGCCCGCTGCCCGGCCCCGCTCCCCCGGGGCAGAGGCCGGCGGCTCTTCGCTTCCCTCCCGCCCCCCCCGCCATCCCCGCCGGCAGGTAACCCCCCACCTCGGCTCCAGCCCCCGGCCGCCACCCGCCCGGCCTCCGCCCAGGCTCCCGGAGCCTCGGGGGCTCCCGCCCGCCCCGCCCGGCCCAGCGGGCGCCCCCCAGGGCTGCGGAGCGGGCGGCGGGGCCGGCACGGCCGCAGGGGCTTTGGGGGGCCCGGCCCGTCTCCGGGCTGACGAAGCGGCCTGTGAAACCCCGTCCCCGGGGCTGAGCCGCGGCTCGGCGGCGGGTGCCTCCAGCCCGACGGGGGGGACGGGACACACCCCCCCCACCCCCGCCATCCGTTTGGGGTGCGGAGGGGCGGCGGGTCCGACCTTTTAAGAAGGAAAGGTCGCAGCCTTTTAGGAAGGAAAATTACCGAGCCCTGGGAGGCGGAAGCGAAGCGAGCGATGCCGGCGTTTTCCTCGTTTTGGCCCCAGCACCGCGGCCCCGGGGGCGGCCGCCCCCCGCCCCGCCTGGCCCGACCGCGGCCCGTTCGCTCCCGGGGACGCCTCGGCGGCCCGGGGAAAGGCGCCGGGACTTAATTAGTTGTGCTCGTTGTTGCCCTGTTTTATGCTGCTCCAACAATGCGCCGTATAGAGCCATCAGTCAAAAGGCAGAGGCAGGCTTCCCGCTGCCGCCTCACCGCTTCCCGACCATGAAATAAATGCAAAGTTTGCACAGACGTGTGTGTGTGTGTGTGTGTGTGTGTGTGTGTGTGTGTCCCTCCCCGTCCCGCTGCTCACCTCCAGGGCTCAGCCCCAGCTCCCCCCCGCCTTACCCCCTCCATCTCCGGGGCGGGGAGGGGGCGAAGGGGAAGGTGTCCCCCCTCCGGCATCCCCGCGACCGGGCTCCGCAGTCCCGCAAGCAGGTGCGGGAACCGAGGGCCGGGGGGGGGGGGGGTCTGGGGCACGTCCCGGGTGGGCAGGCCGGGGGCCGCCCGGGAGGCAGCGGGACACACGCCGGGCGGCGGGCCCGGCTGTCGCTGGGACAGATTTTCCTAATTGACCTGTTACGGATCATCCCCGCAACCGTTGGGAAACACATTTCCACGCTTCACTTCTTAACGTTTTAAATACATATTTAACGGATGGTTGAGGCTTGCCGGGCCAGCTGGGAAACACACGGGTGTAAAAATAATACAACAAAGGCAAAGGGGCCCGGGGCGGGGTGGGGACGGGGACGACGACACGACGACGACGGGGGGATTTACCCCGGTGGGAGGAAGCCCCGACCCTGTTGCACGGAGCTGCCGGGTCGAGGGGGCTCGCCAGGAGTCGGGCGGAGCGCGGGAGGTATTGTCGAAGGTAATTTTTTGGTTAATGTCCTTTTTTTCTTTCTTTCTTTTCTTTCTTTCTCTCCCCTCTTCTACTCCGGTCTTGCTGGAGGGTTGTTTGGGGGTCGGTGCTGGTGGCCGCTCCGGCTTCTTCTCCCGGTTGCTGCGGGGCCGGAGCCGGGAGTTCCCGTTGGAGCCCGGTGCTTCCCGGAGCCCTCCGCCGGGAAATCCCTTCATAGGGAATGGAGTGGCCGAAATCACTGTTTTTGTTTTTGTCCCCCTTCCTCCTCCCTGTGCAGCATTTAACGACGGGGGGGGGGGGGGGGGGGGGGGGGGGGCGGGCGGGCGGGAGGAGGGAGAGATAACTCCCGGCCGGGGAGGGGGCGCCCGCCGGCCGCCCGGTGCGAGTGGCGGGGCCGGTGCTGAGCGCTCCCCGGCGGGGCGGCCCGGGCCGGGGCACGGGGAAACACCGACGTGCCGGGGGGCGCCGGGCAGCACGGCCCCCCCCCGAGGGCGTTGCGGCGACGGGGCCAGGGGCTGTTTGGTCCCGTCCCTGTCCCGCCCCCCCAACAGCTGTTCCCGGCGCTGTCATTGTTGCATTTTATTATGGATTTGACAAAAGTCCCTCCCCCCCCACCGCGCCCCCCCGCCGGGCTCCCCTCGCCGCGGCAGGCCGTCAACACCCCCCCCCCCCCCCAATCCGCCCGCCCCATCTAGCCGGACCGGCCCCGGTGACATCAGCCCCCCCCCCCCCCCCCCTGCCGCTCCCCCCCCCCCGCCGCCGCCGATTGGCGCAGCCCCCCTCCCGCCCGGTGACATCGTTCCTCCCCGGCGCGGCTATAAAGCCGCCGCTGCCGCCGCCGCAAGGTGCGCGCTGCTGCCGTGCTCGCCCGTCACGGCGCGCCGCTCCCCACGGCCGCCCCGCGCACGGTAAGTGCCCCCCGCGCCCGCGCACCCCGGCGCGGCCCGGCGCCTCCCCACCCCCCCCCCCCCCCCCGAGCCCCCCGGCCCGGCGGAGAGGCGCGGAGGGAGGGACGGGACGGGACGGGACTGGACGGGACGGGAGGCGCCCCCCCGAGGGCACCCCGCGGGTGGCGGCGAGGGGAGGGCGGGCAGCGCGGCCTGCCCCTCCGGGGGCGTCGCTCCCCGGCTCCGCGGCCCGGCGGAGCGGCGGCGGAGCCGGGTCGCCGACGTGGCGGGCTGGCGGCGGCCCCGCCAAGTTTCCGCGGGCGCTGACTCGGGGCCGCCTGCGGGCTCTCTCCCCTCCCCGCAGGCAGCCCGGTGCGCGTCGCAGTCCCGCCCGCCGGGCCATGGACTCGGACGCCAGCCTGGTCTCCAGCCGCCCGTCCTCCCCGGAGCCCGATGACCTCTTCCTCACGGCCAGGAATAAAGGCAGCGGCGGGGGCTTCACGGGCGGCACCGTGTCCAGCTCCACGCAGAGCGACTCCCCGCCGGAGCTGAGCGCCGAGCTGCGCAGCGCCATGAGCGCTGCGGGGGTGGTGGTGGTGGACAAGCTGGGCTTCAAGTCCTCGTCGTCGTCCTCCTCCTCCTCGTCCTCCTCCTCCTCCAAGAAGGACAAGAAGCAGATGACGGAGCCGGAGCTGCAGCAGCTGCGGCTGAAGATCAACAGCCGGGAGCGCAAGCGGATGCACGACCTGAACATCGCCATGGACGGGCTGCGGGAGGTGATGCCCTACGCCCACGGCCCGTCGGTGCGCAAGCTCTCCAAGATCGCCACGCTCCTCCTGGCGCGCAACTACATCCTCATGCTCACCAACTCCCTGGAGGAGATGAAGCGCCTGGTCAGCGAGATCTACGGCGGCCACCACGCCGGCTTCCACCCCGCCGCCTGCCCCGGCGGCATGGGCGCCCACTCCGCCCCGCTGCCCGGCCACCCGGGCCACCCCGCCTCGCACCCCGTCCACCACCCCATCCTGCCCCCCGCCGCCGTCTCCAGCGCCTCCCTGCCCGGCTCCGGCCTCTCGGCCGTCAGCTCCATCCGGCCCCCCCACGGGCTCCTCAAATCGCCCTCGGCCGCCGCCGCCGCCGCCGCCGCCGCCGCCGCCCCGCTGGGCAGCGGCTTCCAGCACTGGGGGGGGATGCCCTGCCCCTGCAGCATGTGCCAGGTGTCGGCCCCGCCGCACCACCACGTCTCCGGCATGGGCACCGCCAGCCTCCCCAGATTAGCCACCGACACCAAATGAGCCCCTCGGCGAGGCCGCCCCGCCACCTCCAGGACCTACAGATGCGCCCCCCCCCCCCCCGGCGGCAGCGGGTCCATTCCCCGGCCCCCCCCCCTCACACACACACACACACACACACCCCGCTCCGCTCCCGGGGCCGTCGGAGGGGCGGCGGGAGGGGATGGAGCCCGGCCCGGGGTCTGCCCCGCTCCCCAAACGGAGGGGGAAACCGCCCCGACACAAGTAAACGCCCGCGCATCTTCTTTATCTTTAATTTTACGTTGTTGTCGGTAACTTCGCTAGGAGGGGAAAATAGTCCTAGGCTCGTCGCGAATGGAGGAACCAAAACTGCAGAGGGGTTTTTGCTCGTTTGCTCGTTTATTTGTTTGTTTGTTTGTTCCTCTTCCCCCCCCCCCCCCCCCCCCCCCGCCCCGTTCTCTCCCGGTGTCATTTCTACCCGTAGAGCCTTTGGGAGCCGTTTCTGGGTCACAGCCCGCCCCGCAAAGCCCATCCCCGGATCGTCCGGCCGCCGCTCCGGGCACTGCCGGCACCGGCGGGGAGCAGCGGGGCTCCGGGTGGAAGTGTAGCCGGGAAAGTCGGTTTATTCCCCCTTCCCCCGCCCGCCGTATTTTTTGGCATTTTTCTTTCTGGTTCGGGATTTGTAAATATACCGTTCAACGATAACGATGCAAGTCCGCTCTGCCTGAGCTTTCCGTCCGTGCACTTGTACTGTGTAAGCCTCATGAGTGAATAAGGGGTCGGTTTGCCTTGATTTCGTTGATTTGGGTTCTTGGGGTTTGTTGGGTTTTAGTTGTTTGGGTTTTTTGTTTGTTTGTTTTTTTTGTTTGTTTGTTTGTTTTGGTTTTTTTTTAAGTGTATAACATTTTTTTTTTTTCGGTCGTTCCTGACACCTTTAACAAAGTTTGAACCCTTTAATGCTCTTTCTGTGTAGGAACTTTCACACTGTCCGTGTTGCAATACTGAGAACTTGGGCTTGTTTCTGAAATAACAACTTTTCTTATCGCTGCCCCTTGCAGAGATTTTATCATCTGTTTATTTTTGTAAAAAAAAAAAAAAAAAAAAAAAAAAAGAAAAAAGAAAAAAGTTGCTAAATAATATTTATTACTTGTTTGGTTGCAAAAAAAAAAAAAAGTTAAAAAAAAGTGAACCATTGTTGAGATTTTAAATAAATAAATAAATAAATAAATAGCATTTTAAATAAACGGCTTTTTCCTCTTCCTTGCTGTTCCGAGGCGAAGGCAGGTGCCGGTGGCAGCGCCGGTGCGGGCCGGTGTTGGGACAGCCGACAAGGGATGGGAACATTTTAGGCTCATCCTTGCCTTTTCCCCAAGTTTTTTGTTAGTTTGCTTCTCCAGCTAATAGAAATCGTTTCGGCTGCGTTTTTCTCTCGTTTGTTTCTCGCAGAATAAGGGCTGCAAGGAAAGAAGCGACTGTTACTGGGTCCGTGATGTGAAAATTTTTGTCTACCGAATCCAGCGCTCGGCAAGAGCTAAATATTAATTCGTGGAAAGAAAACATTAAACTTGGCGGTGGGATGTTTGCTCACTGTAGTCGCTTCTGCGCACTTGACCGTCAGCCAAAAGCCAGCCTAACGAAAATCCACGGAAAGTAAAATTATGTGGGGACAGCCGTTTTTTTTTGTTTGTTTGTTTGTTTGTTTTTTTCCCCCTGAAGTTGCTAGTATCTCTCGCCCTTGCGTATTTTAGCAGTTCTGTACTCGGGTATTTGGCCAGGAAATATTTCACTCTCTAGCAGACCCCAAGGAAGAGGCTGTCTTCTCTCACGCAGGGTGCGGGCGTGGATCAGCCCGTGGCTTCTCCTTTTCCCGTAAGGAGAAGGGGAACGACCCAAGCGAATCCCGCTTTGTGAGGAGAAGGAAGTCGGCAGCCCCCGGCGGCGGCTGCCCCCCCGGGGGGGCGCCGGGAGGGGTAGTGGGGCTCCCCGGGCGCAGTTCCCACGGTCCCGCCGCCGCCCGCCCGGGGGGGCCGCGCCCGCCCCACGCTCCGGGCGGGCAGGGAGACCGCAAAACCCGCGTCCTTGCCCAAGCACATCCTTACACATCCCGCTCCCTAGAGCGATAAATGGCTAGACGGCTGTTTAAAACAACTAGCTAGTGTAAATACAAAATAGCAGGTATATATTTATATATAGTAACAGGCCATGGAGGAATTTTGGGAGCACAGACACCCGCGGGGTCATGAGAGCGAGTCCAGACCCGAGGGATTTTCAAATTTTTTTTTTACATTTTTTTTCAGTGTAAAGCGAAGCGGTTCCCAGGCGGCCGGGCCGGGCTGAGGTCCCCGCGGGGTGTGAGCCTGTCCCGGCCCAACAGCCCCCCCCGGGCTCCTGCCCTGTTGGGTTTACTCCTTCCCATGCGGCTCACCCCATGCCAACTCTTTCAGGGAAGAGAAATGGGACTCGGAAAGGTGTACCCCCTACCCCAGCACCCCCCCGGTGATGGTGAGAAATAGCACCCCCCGCCTTGTCCAGAGACACCCAGCTCAACCTTCCCTGGCCCTTGGAGAGAAGCTCCCCTTCCCAGCACCCCCAGTTCTTGGCAAACAAAACCCTTTTAAGGCCGGGGGGGACGGAGCCCCGGTGACCAACGCCGAGCACCCCGCCGGTTGCCCCCAAAGTGCCTTCTCCAGCAGCAGAGCTGACCCCTCGCTTTAAGGCCGCCTTAGGGTGCTCCCTCCGTGCCAGTCCGCGGCTTTGAAGGCGATCCTTGAGGTACGAGACCCTCTGCTTCTGCCTTGTCCGGCGGGGGAGAAAGTCGTGCAAAATAAGGGGCTGACAGCCAGGTGTCTGCCAGCGGCTTGGGACGGTCCCCCCGACGGCGGCTCTTCTGCCAGGCTCGGCCGCAACCCAAAGGCCGGCCCGGGCCGGGGCAGAGGCAGAGACCACCCCAGTCCCCGTTCCTGCCCCCCCCCCCTCCCCACCCCCGGAGCCCGGAGGCAAAATCTGCTCCTCCGCCGGGCCCGGGGGTGCTGAGCCCCGCGGCTCTCGCCAGGCCAGCTTCTCTTAGGAGATAGCCCCCCCGCCACCAATTTTGCTCATGAAGCCCCTCTACCGGTGCCCGGCACCCCCCTGCCCCCCCCCCCCCCCCCCCCCCCCCCCCCCATCTGTAGGGAGGCTGCAATAAGCAGAGCAGCTTTCCCAATTAGCAGGGCTCCGGCGAGGGAGTGCTGCTGCGGAAGAAGGGCAGGAGCAGGTGAGAATTAGAGGGAGCATCATTAGGAGCTGTTCTTTGTCTCTATTAAAGGCAATAATTAGCACCCTGACAGATGTAAAAGTCGGCAGTGGCCAGAAGCTGGTAAATCCTGCTCGTGTGCCTCTCTACCCCACCCTCCCCCACCTCTTCCCCCCTCCCCCCCCCCCCCCCCGCCGAGCTCTCGCACCCCGAGGGCCTTTCCCCGCCGCTAACAGGTGGCCTCGGGGAGCCCCGACGGGCAGCACCGCTCCGAGGAGGAGGGCGGATCGCAGGGAGCCGGCTTTTCTGAGGGGGCATTTCGGCCCCACCGGGCCCCGCGTTGGTAACCCCCCCCCCCTCGGGACTCCCTGCTGCCAGTCCCCCTCGGTGGTGGAAGCAGCCCCGGGGCTGGTGGCAGCCCCTCGGCCGGGCCGGGCCGCCGGCTGTGCCTCCCTGGCCCCCCTCCTCCCGGACTACCTGCAAATGAAATTAGCCGCCCTCCCCCGCCTTGTTCCCCATATGCTTCCCCTGCCCGAGCGAGTGCTCCGCAGGGCTTCCCTGATTGCATCGCCCCCAGATGAAGCCGCGGCTCCGGCCGGATAGGGTTACGGTTTTGGGGGGGCGGGGGGGGAGCCCATATGCTCAGCGTACACCGGCGGGGCTGCCGGGGGTCACTTGCACCTCCAGCCGGGCCAGGAGATCCGCATTTGTCCCTCAGGTAGCCCACAGCCCCTCTCTGAGCTGGAGTGGCCACTCTAATTGTCAGCTCCCCACCCCACTGATCCCTGTTTCTCTGAACTTAACCTTGTTTTCCGTGTCTCGGGTCCACCGCGACTTGTCCCGACAGAAGGAGGGAGCCCCCGCCCACGCAGAACCCAGCCCAGACGTCTCCCTCGGATGGCCCCACTCTCACCTTCACCCCTTCCCTTTCCCCTTCCCCAACCTCTTCCCCACCTTCCCCTTCTCTTCCCCTCCTTCCCTACTCGCCCTTTCTCTCTTCCTTTTCCCCCATTCCCCTCCTCACCGACCCTCCCAGGCTATCACACAGAAAGCTCAGAGAGGGGCAGCCAGAGGTCAGCAGCACATTTTAGGCAGAAACCTGGGTGCTTCAGGAGAAAGGAAAAGTTGGCCATGTCAGGGCCCCCGGGCAGCTCCTCCACATTGACTGCCCCTCGATGTCCTTGTCTTATTTCAACAGAGGATTCCTTCGGTCTTTGCCTGGCAAGTTTTAAGCCAAGTAGCCCAAAATCTGCTGCAAAACCCTGGCCGAGGCATGCTGCTCCCTCCAGGCCCACAGCTCCTGCGTGACACATGTGCCTCTTCCCCAGGGAGGTACCAGGGCACTGGCTCCTCTTGGTGCCGATTTAGTCCTGTGGGATGGGATCTGTCAGAGTGCCCTGCATGGGGCTGCAGGCTCCCTTCCTTTTCGTCTGAATGAATGTTTGGAGTGAGTATCCAAATCCCCTTCCACAGCATTCCAAATATCAGTCTTTCATGGAAAAACACATATTTTATTTATCTACAAACCTCTCCTCAGTAATACAAACTAAGGTCTGCTCTGAGCAGGGACCACTGGTAGGGTGAGGTATGTAAGCACAGGTTACATGCATTTAGTTGTATATATAAACTGGAGACAGAAAAAGTCCTATTTTTTTCCCTTTGAAAGCCTCATCATACTTACATTCTGGGGCCAGACTCTTCCTGGACATCCCTGTAATGTCCCCGTGCCAGAGGCAGGGTGCTGGACATGACACATGGTAACTGGGTTCCCTGTTCCAGGGACAAGACCTGAGGCTGTGGCGCAGCCCTCGGATGCTGTTTCACTTGTTGGAAAACAGGGCTTGATTTTACACTTCCATAGGTGAAAGACTGATGTCCCACATACCCTGACAGCATGCAAACTGTCTGAGCCATCCCCCAGAGGAGGATGGCCCACAGGACACCAGTGTGACAGGAGCCGAACAACCTGTGATGATGCCACCATGCTGGCAGTTTTCACTTGGTGTTGCAAGACAGTGCTTGCCACGCAGCTCCGATTTCCCTGTGTTGGCATGGTGTTTCCATCTCTGTGTGGGATGGGGACCTCCAGGCTCGTGACCCAGATTATTTCGGAATGCTCAGGCGTTTCTGAACGCACAGCTGAGGGCCCAATTTTTCAGAAGAGTTACCAGCATCTCTGCAAATGCTCAGCAAGCATAACAGCCCTCTGCTTCTGAAAACCTGCTTGCCCATGTAGGGATTGAGATGGGAAGGGAGGTTCCCCAAAAGCCTGCCTCCAGCCATGACAGCTGGCCCTTTCCAAGCTTCCAGCCCAGGTGGGTGCAGGTTAAAATAAGTGTTGGGCACGTTGTAGTCTGTCAACCCTCTGGGGATCGATCACAGGATCGGAGAAACTGAACTTTCTACTACAGGCATTTAGTAATATTTAAATATTTCTACTAAAAATTGTTAAGGGGAGACAGCAATAGTAACGATAGCAATGGGGACGTGAGACTGTACCAGCTCTGCCTCTGCAAAAGGGCATGAAGTACTCGCTGGTTCAGCCTTTGAAAGTTCAGACACGCTCCCATCTCACCACCCTCACTCCTTGGATGGTGCTTCTGAAGGCAAGAGAGGTTTCACGTTGCTTTCAGCAGCAACATGGCTGGTCTCAGAAGTTTTCAGCAGGTTCCCAGTCCATCCGCTTGAGATCGAGAAAGCAAGAGGTGAATAAGCAGCCTGCCCACCACACACACACACACTCATCGCCTGAATAGCCCCGGGGGTGCTCAAACCTCTCAGGAGTTACAAACAGCCCAGGGTCGAGATCCTCCAAAAGCGTGGTGCTTACCCCAAGGCTTTTACCCTAAAAGATGGATGTAAATGCAAAAGAGTGTTTCACTTTTTCATTCA